GGTTGTGGGCACATCCCCAGTAGGGGGTGTGCAGGAGGTAGCTGATTGATGTTTCTCTCTCATAGATGTTTCTAACTCTCTATCCCTCTCCCTTCCTCTCTGTAAAAAATCAATAAAATACATTTAAAAAAACAGTGGTACATCTATACAATGGAATACTAAACTGCTATAAAAAAGAAGGAACTTTTACCATTTGCAACAGCATGGATAGACCAGGAGAGCATTATGCTGAGCGAAATAAATCAGTCAGAAAAGATAAATATCACATGATCTTACTCATATATGGGATATAATGATCAACATAATTTGATGAACAAGAATAGATCAAGAACAAATGACAACAGAGGAGAGGTGGTTTAGAGAGCAACCAAAGGACTTGTATGCATGCATATTAGCATAACAAATGGCCACAGACACTGGGGCAGTGGGGGCTTGCCCAGGGTGGGAATGGCTTGGGGGGGGTGTCAATTGGGGAAAAAGGAGACATATGTAAAACTTTAGAAATAAATAAATAAATTTAAAAAATAGAATCAGATGATCTTAAATAACAAAAACCAACCAACCAAGCAAACAAACCAAAAAACCTTCAAAACATCAGAGCTGGCTCTGGCAATCCCTTTGGGATCCAAAGTGCCCTTGCTAGTTTTTGTCTAGGTTGCCTTTCTCCTACCTGAATCTTCTTTGTACTGTGTCCTCCTCAGAGAAACTGATGAGCTTGAAGGGGAAATCTGAAGAGTATTCATTGAAGTTCTAGGTCTTCTTTTCCTATTGACCTCATCATTGAAAGACTGGGTAGACATCAGCCTTCCGGGCTCTTTCATGGGGTTAATATTTTAATTTTATTTATATTTTTGTAAGGAAGAACTTTGGCTTTGTTAAGAGAAATTTAGCCATAGAGATAAGGAAGAATAGCTTGTTTTGGTAAAAGGGCCTTCCTAGAACATTTAAAGAACACTCTATTAATGGCCACTTGTATTATACAGAGTGGGGCAAAAGTAGGTTTACAGTTGTGAGTACGTGAAACCCAGAGTTTGTTCTTTTTGTTAAAAAAAAAAACCACACCAAATTCACATTTTATTTACATCGAAATAAACTGTACAAAATTGACTTTCTTCACCAAAAATAACAGCAATATTTTCTGTATTATTCCTAGATAAACTACAAAACACATTTTTGTAGGTTGTCTAGGTTTTGCTTATAAATCAAGACGAGGCAGTAGATATAATCATGGGAAAAGACAGAATAAAACAGACCAATCTGTTGTCAGTATCCATAGCCTCTGATCCTATCTTGACCATGAAACAGAAGTGTTCAACATATACTTGCTAAAAAGCTTATGAAGATATAGGCTCAACAAAGGAATGTAAACAGCAACACCCAGATGTGG